CGCGGGCCTCGGAAGTGGACTTGGTTGAGTCCTGGACACAGAGCCCTTCCCTGTGAACTGTGAAGGCGGCCGCTGGAGCCACTTAGCAGAGGACCCCCGAACGCTGGGCTGCCCGCCAGGTTCTCCACGGCTCAGGCTTCATGAGCCCCCAAGATCCTGCGAGGGCCGTGCTACAAGGTAGGCGGCGGCGGGGGTGCGTGGGGCGCACTGCGGACACAGGTGCGCGCGGTAAACCCCACGGAGGCGCTCGGTGCTCAGGCTTCGCTTTCATGCGGCTGCCCCGGGGTCAGTTTTATGCTTCGAGAATGAAGGGGAGTTTCATAACGGAGACCTCACAGGGGAGGCCTTTGTGATTGCCCCTTCATGGAACGTCCCTTGCCTTCTCTGTGAAATGGTTTCAGATTTAAAATTCGGATTGCCTTTCTTACGTCTGCTCTTGAGTGGGAGGTGCTTGCAGCTGGGGAGTGGGGCGGCCCGCAGGGAAGTCAGGTGTTTTGCATTGGACACGGCGGGATCGATGCTAGAATCACCTGGTGGTACATTTTCCTGCGCCTTAAACTCCTTGGAGGGGCTCCGCCTGTGTGGGGACTTTGGGCAGAGTGTGGGAGAGCTTTAGTTCTTTCTGAAACAAAACATTTAAACGGACAATATAATCAAAAGCTCAGGCTTCTGATGTTTCATTCTGACCCCGGTAATACCCGCTGGTAAAGGAGGGGTTAAGAAACGGGGCCCAGTTCCTCGGCTAGAAACCAAGCATTCTAGGCTGTGAGCAAGGAGTGGCCTAGCACTTTCCGTGTGAAAAATCAGGACCAGGTGATGGTGACGTGGTTGTAAACGGAACACAATTACCTGCTTGCTGAACATTTATAGGACACTTACTGCCCGCCAGGCACCGAGCATAAGTCACTTCACCGCCTGCAGCAGCTCACTGCGGGGAGGTTAGACATATAACACACGTGGGCCATGTCAGTGCAGTGTGGTCAGTGCTGAGCTAGGAGGATGCATAGCTCAGAAGGGGCAGAGGAGCAGGAACCGCTGGTGGGCCAGCCTGAGGGTCAGGGGAACAGGAGGGTCATTGGAGAGGACGACACAGGAGGATGAGTTGCAGGTTAAAAGCAGAGCCGGGTTAAATGCCAGACCAAGCTCCCCGCCTGGGGTAGGAGCCTCCCAAGGTCTGGTTCCTTCTTTGAAGCCTCAGCTCACCTCCCCCTACGCCCAAATATTCCAGTTTCCTTGTCTCTTTTATTCAAGTGTTTCTCAATGAGTGTTCCCCAAACCCCCTGGAATAGCATTTCTCAAGGAATTTGTTAAAAATGTGGCTTCCAGGCCCCATCCCCAGAAATGTTAATTGGTAGGTCCAGAGAGGAACCCAGAAATGGGCATTGTAACAAGCCCCTCAGGTGATTTTTATTGACTTTGCAGACACAAAGCTGGTTAAAACCAGCCTGGAATGGGAGGTTGGGAGTGGATGGTGGGGGCCTGGGTAGGGGAAGGAATGACCTTTTGTCCTTCATTGAGGTGTCTGCTGCCACGAACAGGGCACAATTAACTTCTTAGATTATCCTACCGCATTCAATAAGAATAAATTATTTTTGCCCTGGCCAGTGTTGCTGAGTGATTCGAGTATCAGCTGCCCCACTGAAGGGCCACAGGTTTAATTCCCGGTCAAGGCTGAGTACCTGGGTTGCAGGTTCAATCCCCAGCCCCATTTGAGAGGTGACCTGTCCATGTGTCTCTCTCACATTGATGTTTCTCCCCCACCTCCCTCCTTCCCTTCTACTCTCTAAAAATCAATGGAAAAAGTATCCTCCCATGAGAATTAATAAACAAACACAGAATATATCATTCTTTTCTGCCATCATTAATGTTGTATTTCCTCTCACTGTCTGGTTGCCCTCTGCCTGGGGGAAGTCAGAAAAGCAGACTTAGGTCACCCAAGGACTGGGCATCACCCTGCCACCAAACACTGAAAGACACAGTGTCTAATTGTATAAAAGACTTCACTCGGGGCTTAGGGAATTGAAGACGTTGGCCTTTTCAAACACAAATTATTGAATTTGTTGGGCTTGGGCTATATTAACAAATTCAATATATTTTTATTGATTTCAGAGAGAGAAGAGAGAGGGTGAGAAAGATAGAAACATCAATGAGAGGGAAACATTGATAGGCTGCCTCCTGCATATCTCCTACTGGGGATGGAGCCTGCAACCTGAGCCCCAAACTGGAATCGAACTGGCGACTTCTTGATGTATGGGTCGATGCCCAACCACTGGGCCACACTAGCTGGGCTAAGTTGTCTTTCTCTTGATATTCTTGCCTGGCTGTTGTGTGATTTAAAAAAAATACATGCTATAGTTTTTTTTTGTTTAAATGAAAATTTGATTTAAGGGCTAGAAGTGAAATTGGCTGAAGAAAGCTTGGGAGAGAAATGTCTGGATGTGTTTTGTTGGGAAGGTGTTGTATTTGTGATGATGCTGGTAAAATCATCCTTGATGGGTCACCTTCAAGGGAAGGTCGGGAAGGGAGACTGCCGTTTATGGGAGAACAAGAGGTTGTTTTCAGGGCCCATGGGAGTATTTATTTCTGTCTTATTTGGTTACATTTCATCTTCATGATCTTCAGGGAAGTCCATATGCTCAAGCTGGTTTAGAGGGGAGGGTTTTTTCCATTTTCACTTTTTTGGTGTCTTAGTTTTCAGAGCCAAACTGTACACCACACTACATGGCTCTTAGCAAGAGCCATTTATTCCAATATCTTTTCTTCTCACGGATATGAGAATAACAGGACTAAAAGAAACACGTCTGATGCTACTGCGGAATAAACTTGATCATTGTTTTCGGTCTGTGTAGAGTAGACCGCATAATTAGGTTAAGGAAGTGGAATAAGCATTCTTTGCCCTTCCTCCCTCCCTTTCTACAATGAGAAAAATAATCAGAGGAAGGTGGCTGATTGAGAAAAAATTCAAAGCAGAAACACAGGGTAGCTTGTTATTGTCCTACGTGCCACACCAAAGTGTAGGTGGTAACAGGTCATTGGACCAGAGAGGCAAGAATCTGGTTGTGAAAGGCAGGCAGACTTCTGAGCAGGCCCTGGGTCGAGTCACAGCAAATAGGGGAGGGAAGGGCCCCAGGGGATCAGCAGGAGGCGAAGTGCCTCTCAGATGGGGAGGCCAACACCTTCAGGGACCAGGACATCCTGAGCCTAAAGAAGCAAAAGGCCAGATGATCAGATAAGCCTTTTCAAACACAAATAATTGAATTTGTTGGGCTTGGGCTAGGCTATTAACAAATTCAAGTTGCCTTTCCCTTTTTTTAAAAAAAAATATTTTTATTGATTTCAGAGAGAGGAAAAGAGAGAGTGAGAGATATAGAAACATCAATGAGTACCAGCGCCCAGGAGGGACTGCCACTGGCTCCTTTGGAAATCCTGGAGGAGGGTGGTTTGAGGTCGGGGAAGGGCATTGGAAACACCTGGCTCCATGGGCACTGCCCTGGCCGAGAGAACACAGGTTGTGGATGAATTAGCCTAATAACTGCTAATTCCCAAACACTCAGTTTTATGCTTCTAAAACAGGCATGTCAAACTCACGGCCTGCAGGCCACATGCCTCGTTTATTTGGGCCATGTAGCCTTTGAGTTTGACATGCTTGTTCTAAAAAGAACAGCGACCACATTGAAGGCATGGTTGCTGCTGCTTTTGGTTTTAATCAGACGAATAATAATCACCTTTGCTCGAGTTTCCTGATTAGAAAGTTCCTTGCCATCCGCCCTCCCCCTCCGGATGCACCTGTGTTAGGAGGCAGTCTTCCTTCTTCCTGCTCTGTCTAGTCTCCTCCAGGGTTGACAACCACGGTGCTAATCACAGTGTGGACTCACGACCCCTCAAAACCTGGGCTTCCTCTGTGCCTACGTCCCCTCCCCACCCCTGCAGTCTCCTCACAGCCTCGATTTTAGCCTCTCAGTCAGATCCCAGGCTCATGCCTCAGGGCCACAGATCTCCCCGTTTTATCGGCATGAAGCACCTTCCCCTTCCCTTTTATTTCTGTTAAAGTTTCACTCATGCTTCAAAGCCCAGCCCCAACATTCCCTTTCCGGTGAAGCGCGTCTTCCACAGCAGAACAGTGGCTCCTCCCATGTCTTCCCGGCTTGTGTTTACGCTGACAGCACCTCGCCCAACATGGGCTGACCTGGCCAGAATTCCCAGGTGTTCCCAGGTGTAGCGACCAGGCACTGTCTCCTCGCATGACCAACACCAGCTCATGGAAGCCTCAGAACAACCCTAGGAGGGTCTGTTGGCCCCACTTGGTTGAAGAAACTGGCCCAGAGAGAACCCTGACAAAGGTCACACAGCTGGTCGGCGGCACACCCTAGATCTGAACCCAGTTAGTCTGGTTCCCACCCTTCCTCCTAACCACGAGGCCTGTCTATCTGATTATGTTTGTATCACCATCCTCCAGAGCTTGGCAGTGTGATCTGCATGTTGGGGGTCAATGATTGTTCATTGCTCCAAAGTGATCACCATCGCGAGGAGTTAGGGAGCAGGGCAAGGGGCTTGAGGACTGTGGCTGCACCAGGAAGAAGTGATGGGACTTTTCTGAAGCAGGACGGGTGGTCACATGAGCCTGCACAGGAGATAAAGTTGCACAGGACTGAATATATACACATACACACAATGTAAGAGTAGTTTCAACTGCATGTGAATCTTCTATTACCTCAAAATAAAATTTTAAAAAAATGGTGATCCCAGGGTTCTGACCACAAGTTCAGTTCTCCTAGACTTGGATAAATTTAATTCACATAAATGATATTTTTGTACAGTAGCATTACTAACCTTTTGTTGACAGTAATATTAAAACATTTAGATTTAAATTATATCTTATTTCTTTCACAAGGGTGTAGATAGGCAAGCAGAGAAATTTATATCTAATTTGTTTTCAAGTAAAACAAGCTATGTCTCCTTTATGATGAAAATGCAAATTTATTGGGAAGTCATTGGAAAATAGCCAATGATTAGAAAAGAAGAAAGTACAATTTGCCATCAAACGACAATAATAGTTATTAACAGCTTGATGTGTTTCCTCCAGTATGTTTGCCATTACTGTGTTTTGTATGTTCTACATGATTGTAACTATACTAACATCAGTTATTAACAGTTTGATGTGTTTTCTCCAGTATGTTTGCCATTACTGTTTTGTATGTTCTACATGATTGTAACTATACTCCTTCTGTAATTTTGAGCATTTCTCCCCTCAAATATGCTGTAAAATACATCCCTCCAAATGTTTACACATTGTACAAAATGTGCACTATAACAGCTGATAGCTCAATTTTGAAAATGAAATGTATTTTAATAAATACTGCCTTTATAATTATTCAGAGTATGTGTATACATTTGGAGGGATACCCTATATTTCAGTCTTCAGAATGTATTGAGTGGCAGTGCCATAATTTATTTTCCACCTGTTGGAAAAAAATAACTGAAAACTCTACATTTTTTCAAAATTAAAAAGCAAATTTGAAAGAGTTCTCTCTCTTGTGCTTCTCTTGCACACGCTTTTTAAAAAATCATTTGCCATTGGCGATTGGTCTATGAGATTTTACAGGCTCAGTCATGGCACAGAAATACGCAGGCAGCCAAGCGGGTGAGGGTCTGGGACACTGTGGTCACAAAGGCCAGCAGGGCAGCTTTAGCGAGAGTAAGAGAACAGGTGTCTTTTCACTGCACCTGTGGCGGTGGCTGGCCGATTTTCTGGTGTTCAGGTCAGGGTCAATGGCTCCCAGGAAGGTGTTCTGCCAGGAGACCTCTGTGTGTGGGAAGAGAGCTCTGTGCTCCCAGGACATGGATATGTGTCCTCCTGTCCCCCGTGACCCAGGTGCCCTCCAGGTCTGGCGAACAGCGTGGAAGGAGGTGTCATGTCATGGTCAGCAGGCTCCTTGGTCCTTTTGAGGCTCCGAACTTTGAGGTCCTCAGACATCAGAGTGACAATTCTAGGTCTTTGAAACTGAAGATGACCTAACTCTGTCTTTAAATGACTCCTGGTTCCCACCCCAAATACAGGCTCATACATGGCCTATAACATAAAACCAGTGCGGCTCACGTAGAGAAAGACCTTTGACACAGCTCAGGATGCCTCAGAGGGTTTGGAACTCACTGGAAAGGCTGGGTGGTCTGTCTGTCATTCTTTCTGGTCACAGGAGAAAACAGTCTGGGTGAGGGGATTCTAGGAGACGGAGGAATTAGTGGGATGCAAACCAACAAATGCCCAAGTCCCATAGAACAAGGTAGAGGACTGGGCACCTTGCTATAGCAAAGAAAGTTATGAGGCTTTGAAAACGTGTGGGACTCCTGGATTACTGGCCCTAAAGCCTGAGGGGAACTGTCCACTTTCCCCACCAAAAACTTCCTTACCACATGTAGTTTAAAGCTGTCCGTCATGTGATTAGAATTCTTCTAGACAAAAGCATGTGGTATATAGTGACTTACGATGACTGCAATGTGGTTTTGCAACTTCTTTAGGTCCTAAATATTGACTGCTTGTACATAAAGGGCCATCCATGGAGGATGTGTACAGTGCGGCCCCAATCAAGGGGGTGGGAAGATTGCAAAGTGGATAGGACAGGGCAGAATAGGATGAGTGATGCTCAAAAAATCCTCATATCTCAGTGCTTTGAAGTCATGGGGCGTATTGGTCACTCATACTATGTGCCCAGCACCGGCCAGTGAGGCACCCTGCTCCATGTACTCAGGGACCCCTGGTAACCATCTGGATGACCCATTGTCTATAAAGCCCACCCTGTTCTCCAGACCTTCCGGCAGAGCTGAGGGTCTGACAGTGGCCTTAGCTTAGAAGTGACCTCCTCCCTTCTGCTCATATTCCCTGCGCCTGAACTAGTCATGTGGCCCCGATGAACTGCCAGGGCGCTGGGAAACGGGTGAGGAAGTGGAATATTGGGGAGCATCACTGTCTCTGCCTTAGCCTTCTCTCCTGGTCACCAAATATCTATTTGCTTCCTTCTTCACAGTGCCTAGAGATAATTGAAAAGTTCTGCTTGGTCAAGGCATCTGGCACCGATGACAGCATCGCTGCGTGCTGTGAGATAGTCAGGATATCGGGTTAGAATCTGGCTCCTCTTGGTCTGGAAATCTAAGAGATAAGACAGCTTTTCTGCTGCGCAGGCAACTAGCACAACAAGAGCAGGTTAACTGCAGTAAGCACTCACACGTGTGCGGTCAGGAACGAGGTTTCTATACTTGTTTATAGCCTCTTCTCACCAGAAACGGGGCCTTCCTTCCACCTTCTGGCTTTTCCCTGCTGCCTGAGAGGTCTCACATCTCTAAACATAACCCCTCCCACTGCACAATAAATCTGATTCTTCTAGTTTCTCTAGGAACTTCTACCCACCTGTGTGATTGCTAGCCACTCTGTCTGCCTGCCTCTCTCCATTGATCCTTCTATGAATGCATTTTGTTGTGATGTGCATTAGCACAGTCTGTGCACAGCACAGCTCGGAGGCTGCAGAGAAACACATGACGGTCCTTGGTTCTCAGTGGCACTCACCATTTCCTGGAACTAGGTAGGAAAGAGACCGTGCAAGAGAACTTGTTGAAATTAATTCGTACTTTGTTCGTTATGTTTTTCCCTGTTCTTAGGCAGGTGATTAAGCCTTCACACATTCCCTCGACTCAGGAATTTTTGCAGAGCGGAAAGCGGCTTGAAATCAAAGACTCTTCCTGCCTTTCTTAAAACACAAAGGACATTAAAGGGCCTGGTGGGAGGAAGGAGGCAAGGAGAGGGTGCCTTTGAAAGGAGCAGGCAGGGAAATTGGCCAGCTGGGAAGAGGTTGGGGCAGGAACCCGGGCGCTGCTTTGGCAACATCCTAAGGAAGAAGGGCCATACAGTGTCTGGCTTAGTTTGCATGGCCCAGGGGAGCTACCATTCTGCAAGTTTTACCCTTTTTAAAAACGCTGGTTTTTTTTTTCTTCCTCATGTTTCCAGACCTCCTGCTGTGGGAATGCCTTGAGATGCAATGGGGAAGAAGTGACGCTCTTACTCGGCTGGCCAGGGGGACATTCTGCTCCGTATACTCAGGGACCCCTGGTGACCATCTGGTTGACCCATCGTCTGTAAAGCACACCCCGTTCCCCAGACCTCCCGGCAGGAGAAGTGAGGGCCTTTCAAAGGCTTTAGCTTAGAATTGACCTCCTCCCTTCAGCTCATATTTTATGAACCTGAAGCAGTGATATGCCAAGTCTACTGAGGGGACATAGTTTTAATATAGTGCGAAATTCTCGAGAGAGACATGTGATCAAAGCAGCCTGAGAGGACAGGAAAGGAAATGGCCAACCTCGCTCTTCAGTTTTCTTTCCTCAGTCAACCCTTTCTTTGTGTCTGTGGTCCTGTGTTCTTCCGAATCCTCAGCTCAAGCTCTATTTGAGCCTTCGCTCTCTGAGCATGCTGTCTCCATCTCATAACTTTATTTTGCTTTCTCTCCAGTACCTGGAGAAATTTATCATGGGTCTATTTTTGTCTCTAGTGTCCTCCAAATCTTATAAACGTAGGCAGCAGGGGAATTTATTGGAAAATATATGAGCTCAACGATTCAGGGTGGCGGGGGGGCGGGGGGAGAGGGAGCTGAAAAGACATATTTGGAAAATGGCTCAGGATCTGGACACTAAGGAGGCCGTTGCTGTGACTCATTTCTTAACTCTTTCTGCATCTCTGAGCTTCTCCTTTAAGACACAAAGTCCCCGGCAGAAGCATCTGACTGACCTGGCCTTGGAATAGCCTCACAATCCCACCTCTAACAGTAGAGACACGGTATTGCTGGCTTCTGGTTCCCACTGAGAGAAGTAGAACCCTGCTCCCACCGAGATCCACAGAGTAAGGGAGTATTCAGAGGTCGAACATATCAACCAGCACGCCCCTCACGTGTCATTTCCTGCTAGGGTTTTATCTGGAGATTCAGATCGCGCCTGAGTCTCTACCTCTCGTTCTGACCTCTCTCCTTTTCCAGTTGCACTCAGAGCCTTCCTCTGGGAGGCTCCAAGGTGCTCCGAACGTACATAGGATGAAAACTGGTCACAGCATCCTCCCCTTCTCATACTCCCCTTTTCTTCAAAAGCCACCTGAGATACTGGTTACAAATGCAGAGTCCCTGGATTTGCTCTCCTCCCCCACAGTCCCAATTTTGTGCTTCTGGAGTAGGGCCCAGAAAGCTTAAGTCTTTAGCAGGTAGCTCAGATGATTTTGACAATGGCAATGGCTGTTCTCTTTCGAGAAACAGGGTTCTCACCTGTTTTGAACTCGGGCCAACTCTTTCTCTATGATCTCTCTCAAATCTTTCCTTCTCTTTCTCCCCCAAACAAATGTCTTCGCTGTTGCCATCTTTCTCCATTACTGGCTTCATTATCTATCCGTCTCACCATCGCGAGGACAGAACGTCTCACGGCATCTCTGTGGTGGTGACATCGGGGAGGCGGAGGGAAATTGCCTCCTACTTTCTGCTTCCCTTGAGATTTAGCTGCATTTCCAGAAACTGGGTTTGGTGTGGCTGCTCTGGGGGATACTGTGTTAGATGCTTGGAAAGGCATGGGCACTAACCAGCCGGAATGGATGCTGGCTGTACCACTGGCTGGAATCCTCTTTGGGCTTCTGTTCCTGTCCCTCCAGCAGCCCTTCTCCAAAGCACCTGCCCGTGGTTGTCAGAGTGACCTTCAGGCCCTGCTCCAGGGTTGTTCTGCAAAGGGCATGAGCTACGGTGAACATCCATCCCCTTGTTTGGGTATAGTATGGCCACGCCCTTACCATTTCCTTTAGACATCTTCCTTTTCAAATGTCAGGGTGCGTTCAAAGGTTTGTTTAGTACATGGAGCTATTCACGTAAAATTATTTGGAGAATTCTCTCATCATTCACTTCCTGGCACAAATGCTCGTCACTTCCTCTCTTTCCAGTAACCAAAGGGTTAGAACAAGAAGGCTGCCCGCGCCACACCGACAGTTTCTTTTAATATCAAGAGGATTAGACAATTTCTTTTTTGTCTTATACTTCACTAGTATATGTTGATATGGTTTTGTGTCTTCTCTCTCCTTGAATTTTTTTGAGGTTTTAATTTAGAAGTTGAAAAGGGAGGTTCAATTTCTTTGATTCTTTGACCGGTTGTAGAAAATCACTAGCGGCAGAGACGAGAAAGCATTTGTTCTGGGGGCCTCTGCGTCATAGATGGGACCGCAGCCTACGAGAATGCTAACCACTGAAGAAGCGGGTGCTCTCTGTCCCTGACCCGGCGCCAGGAGAGCCTGGTCCCGAGACACGCGCAGCATCACCCCTCCTTCTGTGCAGGGAAGCTTTCTGCTCCCCCACCAAACCAGGAGACTAGCCATCCAGCCGGTGGCTCAGTGCAGAAGCTGATAAATTCAGAAACGTACCCCGAGTGCTCCCAATCTATCTAGTAAGTGTGGCACCCATGGGTCGAGGTTCCTACACCCAGATAGGTGAGAAGTAGCACCTTTCTCTATGTTCTCTAAGTTATTCTAATCTTGATGCTAAACAACTGTCTCTCTAGGCTACGCACAAGTCCAATGTGTCAGCTTCTCCAAGGTCCTGGGCTGAGAGAGTGGAGACGCCCTGGTTTCCTGTCATCTGTGTGTATCATCACTGAGACGGCGTCCCTATCTGCACCCCCTCAGCCGGGAGCTCTCCATGTGGAGAAAGGAACCTTCAGCTTCTCAGAGGTCCCCTCACCCAGGCTCCCCTGCCCCAACTGCCCCAGCACAGGGGCAACCTTTTCTGCTCAGATGAGGCTCCTTCCTGTTGTCGCCTCTTCAGTTCACTCGACCCCTCAAACCTTGTTCTTAGATTGAATTATTCTCAACCAAATGTTAGTTTACTTTTCCCTGAGAATAGGGAGGACGGGGCCCCAAGAGTGGTGGGGGTGGTGTTGGCATCCCATCCTTCTTATGTAGCAAAGAGAAAATAGGGAACCCGGCACTAGAAATCTCCAATGCTACCGTCTGGGCATTTGTTCTGTTCTTATGTCTAAAATTTAATATTCACTCCTCCTTAGGAATCGGTGCATCCATATCTTAGACATGCTGCTGTGCACTGAAGGGATATTGTCCTGGTCGACACCAGGCAGGGTTCTAGGTTGTATTCAACAACAGCAACAAAACAATTCTTGCAAATTTAATAAAAAAGGGAGGGTCTGGGGCATCAGGGAAGTCCTCTCAAAAAAAAAAAAAGGAGAAAGAAAAAAACGACATGGAGTTAGACAGATAAAGAAGTTGTAATAAAAGTGAGAGGAGATACTGAAGAAACACATAGGGAACAAACACGAGAAGCAGAAAAGGAAACAGACAAACAATGTCGTTTCTGCCTTAAAAGACGACAGTGTGGGAGGAAATGGACCTCGATGCCTATAATGTGAGGAAGTGAGTG